GACCCGCAAAATAAATTTAGCGAAAGGAGGCTGCTCCTTGGACACCCGAGATGGCTCAGGAAACAAACGAATATAGAAAAACCGATTCTTCTCTATAGACAAGTGCCTGTTTCATTAAGTCCCCCACCCAAGAATCAGTCAAATTATCCAAGAAAGAAACGAGAACCCAAAAAGAACAAACAACTTTCCAACAAAGAAAAATCTGGGTATTAGATAAAGAGTACCAGTTCCAAAGACCGACCTTGAAAGGGTCGGATTTCTTGTAAGAACATGGACCAAAGTTGTCGATCCTCCATTGAGCTAATCTGGAGATCGTTTCTACCTTTGAATCACCCATTTTGTCTTTTCTTTTTTTAATTCCCTTTGGTTTTACGTCTAGGAAGAACTGAGAGCTATCTTTGTAGTTTGTTTAAATAGTAGCGTAGGGGTACAGACGACGTTTGTTTGACCCCCTTTCTGTTGGGAAAGTTGAAAGCTTTCTTTTCTGTACTGACAAAAGAACGGTTCTTTTTGCAAAGATAAAAACATGCCTTTTTCCTTCAAATGAAACAACGACTTGAATTTATTAATTACATTAAAAACTTTATATTTTATCTTCAAATTCTGAATTCTAAATATTCTAAATTTTAATAATAAAACTATCATTTAGAAAACCCTTTTAATGATTTTAAAATATTTCTTAATGTAAAGTGAAATAATTAGCGCACACCTCAGTGTGAGATTTTTTTTCTTCTTTCTTCCCTTAAATAGTGATACACACCATATAATGAATATTGCTAGGGTGAACTTTGTAATTTGAAAGCAGGGATCACATCCTAGTTTGGTTGGATTTATGATACACAGAAACAATAGCAAAAAACCCTAACTTTAAAAAGAAATAATTAAAATAGATTAGCATTACGTCAAGATTTTCAAAAGAAGAAGATAAGATGTTTTAATCTTATATTAACAAACAAAAAATCTTTAAAAACTTATGAGTATAGAAAGTATGCTTCCTATAAAGTTAATATTTTAAAACGAAAATAATGATCTCATAATAAAATAATATCAATCTAAATCTCATTCACGTCCAATATCTTTAAAAGAAAATATATAAAATAGTCAACGACAAAAATGTTGTTAAATTAAGTAGGAAAAAATGTCATGTTAAGTAATGAAAATGATATTTTAATTTTTTTTTAAATAACATGATTTTTCTATTTCACATTAAGTAAATTGAAAATTTAAAAAAATTTATAAACATGAACATTACATATATTATGAAATTAGGATAACTTATTATAACCTTAGCAATATCTTATTAAAGGGCAATTAAGATTAAAATGCTTAGCAATATCTTGTTATAGGGCAATTAAGATTGAGATGCTACAAAATGCAATGATTGAGTTCCAATTCTAATATTCTAGCATATGAGAAATTTGCAACTAAACTCAAAGCAATAGCACATTATAAAAAGGTCAAACATCACCTATTTATTAACAAATTAATAGAATTAATGCTTGATGACACGACATAGATTCACACTTAACCTACAATTTCATACTAGAACAATTTTGGTCAGTTTTTTTAAACCAATTGGACATAAGAGCACAACCGACATTTAAATAAACAATATCATTTTGATGTGACTAAAAGCAATAGGGATTTATAATGCCACTTGCCAAAACTAGCACTAACCCTACTTATATCAACACTCGACTTCCTTTACCTTGCCAAGAAGGAAACGTATTTGTTGTGTTTTCTCTCCAATTTTTGTTTTTAAAAGGAAAACAGACCTTTTTCTAGTGTTCTTAATACTTTTAGCTAGCTCCACGTGACTGCATGCCACAAAAAAGTAGCGATTCTACATAAACAATAAATTCTCATTTAAATGTGGTAAATTCATTTTTGTTGTTTAAAAATCAATTTTTAGTATATATAATCTAAATAATATAAAAATTCATATCAAATTAGTACATGTTCTGAAATCAATTATAACAATTCAAATCTAAATAGTACTAGTTTAATAAATTTTTAAATGTAAATTATGTAATTTTTAAAAATTTAAGTTCAAATTGTTGTTAGAGATTGATTAAAATTTTTATATAAATTTTAATAATTAAATTCACGTTTAATATGGAATGAAGTATAAATTATATGTATTTTTTATTTAAAATTGGAGTTTGTGATTATATTTATAATAAAAAAATTTAATTTTAAAAGAAACAACTTATATTAGAAAACCAAATATCATGGTAACAAGAATTACAAGTAAACTGTAATGGTCTAAATTTGATGTCGCACATATTTTTTTTTTTTTGAACCAATGAGGTCGCACCATTTAAGCAGCAAAAAATTATATGTCGTGTGGAGAAGTGACAGAAAGAGGAGGACAAAGATGGCTGTTTCAGAAAGAGGTGTGACGGTTGGTTCCGAAACCGAACAAGTGCCTAAACATCTGTTCATTAATTTATTACCGTAAAAAAGATGGACAGCTTTTCCATTTCACTCTTTGGGCTCAAAGCAGCCCATTCGACCTTTAGAAATGGGCTAAGTTGGTGGCCGCTTGGGCCGCACCTCATTCACTAAAAAACAGAGAGGGCATTATGGTAAATCGAGCCACTCCAATCAATCATCATCCTCACCCGTCACCACCTTCCTTCCCCGATCCCATCGTTCCATTCACTTTAGAAATTAAAGGGAAAAAATCTGCAATCCAATCAAAGAATTATCCTATCTCCGCAACCAAACAACTAGAAGAAAGAAGGATGTCCTCCACTTTCAGCGGCGATGAAACCGCTCCTTTCTTCGGC